CCGGTGAGATTTGAACAGCCGAACTGCAGAACTGCAGTCAGCTGAAGTAGCCTGCAGTGCTGCATTTAACCACTGCGCCACCTCGGCTCTTAAACAAGCTTTAAGAGGTTTAAGAAGTCTGCAATGAGGGTTATGTGTCTGCTCACATCTGCTCCGAATCTCACATTTTGCCTTTGAATTTGGATCCCTGCATAACCCTATTCAATACTGCTCTCTGGGGAGAAGAGCAGAAAGGGGAATCACTGTCCTTTTCATCCTTGGGAAGTTTCTGAATGCATTTGATTTGCAGGAGTCCAAATTAAAAACACTCCTCCAGATGGCTCTCTAGCCTCCGCTGGAACACAGCCAATATTAAATCAAAATCTCTCTTTCCTGTAATTTACAAGTTCATTTTCCAGACTGTGCATTCTGAACAAAGGTTTTGACCTTCTTTTTTGTGATGTATTTCAGGTACTATATTTGGGGGGTGCGTAGTCTTGTCCTTTGTCAAAGGGACGCAGTGGCTCAGTGGCTAAGACACTGAGCTTGTTGATCAGAAAGGTCAGGTCACAAAAGGGATCACATCAGTGGTGGGATTCCTACCGGTTCGGACCGGTTCAACTGAACCCGTAGTGGTTTGGTGACCTGGGTCACTGGAACCGGCAGAGACCCAAGCCTGCCACGTCCCCGAACTGGTTCTCCGGACAGCGCCATCGGCGCCATCTTATTTTTCAAATGCAGATGGACTGCTGAATCTAGTCCTGATGCTTTAGTTCTCCCATGCTATGCCATGTGTTTGTGAAGTGGTTGTTTTGTTTCCCTAATGTACAGGTAGTCCTCAACTTACGACCACAACTGAGCCCAAAATTTATGTTTCCAAGAGACAAAGTTGATTAAGTAAATTTTGCCCCATTTTACCAGTTTTCTTGCCACATTTGCTAATTTAATCACTGCAGTTGTTAAATTAGTAACACAGTTAAGTGAATCTGGTTTCCCCATTGGCTTTTCTTGTCAGAAGGTGATCACATGACCCGAAGTTACTGCAACCGTCATAAATATGAGTCAGATGGCAAGTGTCGAAATGTAAATCACATGACCACAAGGTTGCTGCAACGATCGTAAGTGTGAAAAATGGTCATAACGTCTGCATAATTTTGTATTTATTTTGTCATGTTTATGTAGTGTAAATTGGAGGTGGTCCTTTGAGAGCTGCATAAAACGAAATTTCATTTTAATGTATGCCGATTAATGTACAAAGTGACAAAGTTAGTCTAGTCTTACTTTTTTCAGTGATGCTGTAACTTTGAATGGTCAAAGTTGGTAGACCATCTCTGGTTGGTAGACCATCTCTGGT